TGACCTTTTCCAGTAATGTAGGAAGTCTTCTTGGGCTTCCTGAGATTCTGGACTTGTTTAATTTAGGAGGACAAATAACACTTCAGCTACTGCATTTCTTTGAATGCCCTCTGAATCGTATCTCTCTCATTTTGATAACGTTTCATGATCTGTATTACACAAAGGTCAGAACATGGGCTCACGTAGGTCTGACAGTCTCAGAATTTGAGAGGTAAAGGCCTGTGAGACTGCCTGCTGCTGAGACAGCATACACAAGAGAACTTGCATGGTAACAGACTGGAAAGTCAGTAGATGCTCCATCAATAGCTGCTCCATCAATCAGTTACATTTTCCTCTTGAAAAAGCAAAATGCAAAAAACAAACAAAAATGAGCAATTTCAGAACATTACTTTGACTTATATTTTGACAAATTTTGTTCTTTTTAAATAGCTGTCACTATATATACCTATACACACACACACACACACACACACACACACACACACATATATAAAATGTTTTGGTATGTAACCCAAAATGTTCTAACTTTTTTGTTGGACAGGTAATGTCTTGCTTTTAATGCGTAACTCTAAAAATGCTTCATTTTCTGAACATACAGGTCAGGATTTGGCTGACCAGGAGAAGCTGATAAATGTCTCCAGGGGATGAGCTATGTCTATTCTGAAGGCAAACTGCCCAACCCATCCTCCTCTCAGCCACAGAGGCCTGAAGAAGCAAAGCCACTGCACAAAAACAGCATCTGTTTTTAGGCAACAGTAACTAAAGTTTTCTTTCGGTCAGATGCCATCCTTTTGAACCCAGCCATCTCACTGCTCTTGACACTATGGACATGAATCACAGAATGGCCAAGGTTGGAAGACATCTCTGGAGACCATCTAGTCCAACCCCCCTGCTCAAGCAGGGTCATCTAGAGCACATTACCCAGGATTGCATCCAGACAGGTTTTGAATATCTCCAGGGAAGGAGACTCCACAACCTCTCTGGGCAACCTGTTCCACTGCTCTGTCACCCTCACAGTGAAGAAGTTTTTCCTCAGATTCAGATGGAACTTCTTGTATTTCAGTTTGTGCCCACTGCCTCTTGTCCTGTCACTGGGCACCAGTGAGAAGAGTCTGGCCCCATCCTCTCAACACCCTCCCTTCTGATCCTTGTACACATTGATGAGATCACCTCTCAGTCTTCTCTTCTCCAGGCTGAACAGGCCCAACTCCCTCAGCCTCTCTTCATAGGAGAGATGCTCCAGTCCCCTCACCATCTTTGTAGCCCTCTGCTGGACTCTCTCCAGTAGTGCCATGTCTCTCCTGTACTGGGGAGCCCAGAATTGGATGCAGTACTCCAGCTGTGGCCTCACCAGGGCTGAGCAGAGGAGAAGGATCACCTCCCTCAGCCTGCTGGCAACACTCTGCCTAATGCACCCCAGGACACCACTGGCCTCCTTGGCCACAAGGGCACACTGCTGCCTCATGGTCAGCTTGTCCACCAGCACTCCCAGGTTCTTCTCTGCAGAGCTGCTTTCCAGCAGGTCAACCCCCAGCCTGTCCTGGTGCATGGTGTTATTCCTCCCTAGGTGGTGGACCCTGCACTTGCCTTGGTTGAACTTCAGGAGGTTCCTCTCTGCCCAGCTCTCCAGCCTGTCCAGCTCCCTCTGAATGGCAGCACAGCCACTCGCA